AAAACAATGAGGGGCTAGATAAGGTAGGTAGCCAACAGTTTATCCCCGTGGTAGGGGAGACTGGACCTGGAGGGTGTAGGTTTAAGGTGAGAGGGGAGAGATACAAAAGGGTCCAGGGACAAATTGTTTCACACAGAGGGTGGTGAGTGCCTGGAACAGGCTGCCAGAGATAGTGGTGGAGGCGAATACAATTTTGTCATTTAAGAAAGATTTGGGCAGGTACATGGATGGGACAGGGATGGAGGGACATGGACCAAAGGCAGGCAAATGGGGCCGGTTTAAATTGTGAAAACTGGACGGCATGAGTAAGACGGGCCGACGGGCCTTTTCCTACGCTCTGTGACTCTGTGAAACTTCCAGGAAATAATTCCCACCGGCTGCGGGGTTGGAGGAGGATAGGGCCATGAGGAAGAACCTAAGCACTGGTCAGGCAGGCCTTGCAGGGAGTGGATCGAGAAAATGTGTCTCTAAGGTTTAAGGGTCGGATGCTGGATCTATTTCACTTCCCACAGCAAAGCTTTTCCGTACGGAGGGTCGAGGTACGATAGTTTGAGGGATGCGGGGTTAGGGCTGAGGGGGGTGGATTAGGGTAGGTCTAGGGGAGGGTCTGCTTGCTTGGGGGAGGTGATGGCCTTGGGTCTTTATCACCAGACAACCAATTCAGAGAGAGCCCAGGAGATGTTCTGGAGATTTTGGGTTCGAATTCAGCCCACAGCAGATGGTGGACTGTGAATCTGATTAAACTCTGGGAATTCGGCATCTAAAAAACCCCCACTGGGTACACTCTCCCCCTTCCCCTCCCCATCCCATGGGGGAAAGGGGGAAATCCGCTGTCCTTACCCCAGTCTGGCTACACAAGACCCACAGCGATGGTTGACCTATGTCTGCTATCTTGGCAATGACACCCATACCCTGTGGGACAGTACATCGTTTAATCCACTCACAGGGAAAGGGCATCATTGGCTGGTCTGGTGTTTCTACAACAAAGAACAAAACAGCACAGAAACAGCCCCTCCGCCCCTCCATGCTCACGCCAATTTGTTGCCCCGTTCCTGACTACCCAGAAGGCAGCTAAGAGTCAACTGCTTGCTGTTGGTCTGGAGTCACGTAGAATCCCTACAGTGTGGGAGCAGGCCATTCGGCCCATCGAGTCCACGCTAACCCTCCAAATAGCAACCCATCCAGATCCGCCTTACACTATCTCTATAACCCTGCATTTCCCATGGCTAACCCACCCTAACCTGCACATCCCTGGGCACCCTGGAACAATTTAGCACGGCCAATCCACCCTAACCTGCACATCCCTGGGCACTACGGGACAATTTAGCACGGCCAACCCACCCTAACCCGCACATCCCTGGGCACTATGGGGCAATTTAGCACGGCCAACCCACCCTAAGCTGCACATCCCTGGGCTCTATGGGGCAATTTAGCACGGCCAACCCACCCTAACCCGCACATCCCTGGGCACTACGGGACAATTTAACACGGCCAACCCACCCTAACCTGCACATCCCTGGACACTACGGGACAATTTAGTACGGCCAATCCACCCTAACCTGCACATCTTTGGACTGTGGGAGGAAACCGGAGCACCCGGAGGAAACCCACGCAGACACGGGGAGAATGTGCAAACTCCACACAGACAGTCGCCCGAGGGTGGGATCGAACCCGGGTCCCTGGCCCTGACCCACTGAGCCACCCAACTAGCTAAAGACGGCAGATTTCCTTCCCTAAAGAACATTGGCGAACCCAATAGGGCTTTCCCGCAACATTCGGGGGAAATAATTCCGGATTATTATTGAAATCAAATTTCCACCATCTGCCGTGGGAGAGGGGGGATCGAGCCTGGGTCGCCAGAACATCTCTGGTTAATAGGTGTCCTCCTGCTAAATATTAAACAAAACTGAATTGCCCCAAGGGGCTGAATGGCCTCAAGAGGCTTCCCACCATCCCCTTGCAAATCATCCAGAGCTGATTGCGGACAGTTAGAAAATAGTAATGTTTAATGTTATTTATTTATTTCTCACTTTGACTCCTTCGGGTTCTGGGTCATGCTCTGGGCAGTGATAACGATGATGCTGCAGATAATCACGGTGGCCCCGCTCAGTCCGAAACGGGTGACCGGTTCGTGGAGGACAAAGTGCTGAATGGTCATAGTGACCACCACTTCCGAGTGCAGGAAGGCGCACACCAGAGCAGGGTGGGTCTTGGTCACTGCATAGTTGGCGCAGAAGAAGGAGACTAGGGCCAGCACAGTGATGCCTGTCACGCAGCACCAGGTGAGCGGGTCGACGGGCACGATGGGCTTCTGGAGGAGCAACATGAGCGGGCCACACACCAGGCTGCCCACCACCCCAAAGCTGAAAGTGGCGGTCATCAGCTTGGACGGGTGGGTGAGGGTTCGGAAGATCATGAGGGCCATGGCCAGCGCCAAGCCCCCCAGCATCGCCAGGATGTAGCCGAAGACGTCGGAGAGGCGAGAGGTCCTGTCCAGCCTCATCAGGTCGGGCACCACGATGAGGGCCAGGCCCACCAGGCTGCCCGAGAGGCCAATCCAATCGTAGATGCTCAGTTGGTAGCTGTCAATGACCAGGGCCATGAGGGCAGAGCAGACAGTGGACGTGCCCTTTCGAACAGTGGCCGCATTCCCAGCTGGGATGACCATGAAGGAGCTGTAGGCGCAGGCGATAGACACAATGTTGATGACGGCGTGGATGAAAGTGGACCTCCACGCCTCACGAGGGCCAAACAGTGACCCTCCCCTCGCTTTGATGTAGAAGAACAGGGCCAGGTGGAGGATGCACCGGAACAACAGGATCTCCAGGGAGGGGACGTGCGACGCCTCGTAAGCGATCTTGGTGAAGGGTGCCACAAACCCAGCTGGCAGGCCACCCCCGAACAGAGCCACCACCAGACCCTTTACCTCATCAGGCAGCCAGCATTTTCGCCAACCCTTCCAGGCCCCTTCCTCGCCGTCCGGCCCATGGGAGCCCTGTTTCTCACCGCCGTCGGCTGGACCGTCCTCACCGGCTCTAGTCCCCCGTGCCTCATTCTCGCCCACGGTCAACTGCATCAGAGTGAGGAGCCCGAGACTGGCAGCTGACACCTGGGGATAGCACAGAGAGAGAGAAGAGTCAATGGTCGCGGTTCGATGGTCATGGTCCTGGTCTCCAGCCCCCTTGGCGTTACCACTTCGGGAACACTGCACATCATTCTGGTCCCTACTCACGGAATACTCCCTGCTTGCCCCTGGATCAGAGGATTAGATAGGGTGGACAGTGGGAGCCTTTTTCCTCGGATGGTGGAGGCTAGCACGAGGGGACATAGCTTTAAATTGAGGGGTGATAGATATAGGACAGATGTCAGAGGTAGGTTCTTTACTCCGAGTAGTAAGGGCGTGGAATGCCCTGCCTGCAAAAGTAGTAGACTCGCCCACTTTAAGGGCATTTAAATGGTCATTGGATAAACATATGGATGATAATGGAATAGTTTAGGTTAGATGGGCTTCAGGTTGGTTTCACAGGTCGGCACAACATCGAGGGCCGAAGGGTCTGTACTGCGCTGTAATGTTCTATGTTCTATGGAAGGGGGCAGCTCTGACAACACTCAGAAAACCCGACACCATCCAGGATAAAGCAGCCCCCACTCGATTGGCATCACATCCACAAACATCCCACTCCCTCCCACCACTGACGCTCAGTAACAGCAGTGTGTACCATCTACAAGATGCTCTGCAGAAATTCACCAAAGATCCTCAGGCAGCACCTTCCAAACCCACGACCACTTCCATCCAGAAGGACAAGGGGCAGCAGGTACATGGGAACACCACCCCCTGCACGTTCCCCTCCGAGCCCCTCACCGTCCTGACCTGGAAATATATCCCCGTTCCTTCGGTGTCGCTGGGTCAGAATCCCAGGAATTCCCTCCCTAAGGGGACATTGTGGGTCAACCCACAGCACATGGACTGCAGGGGTTCAAGAAGGCAGCTCACCCCCACCTTCTCAAGGGGGGCAACTAGGGACGGGGCAATAAATGCTGGGCCCAGCCAGTGACGCCCACATCCCACAAGTGAATTAAAGAAGAGATTTTCTGGGATTGGAACGTGGAATCCTTCTGGTTCAAACCAACACTGGCTGAGAGGCAGCTTCTGGTACCACCTTGTGCTGTGGGAGTCTCCGAGGACAAGTGAGGTTTTCCCGTGGGATCTTCCCCAACATTTCTCCAAACACCCCCCCACCATTAGAACAGCCAGGCTGAGAGAGAGTGCCTCTGGGTCTACCCTATCTTTGAGACTCCTTCAAAAGGAAGGAGGCGGGTACATTAAATATTTTTAACGGTAGTTTCTTGGTGAATGGGGATGGGGGAGGGTCGTTGGGGGGGGGGTTGTGGGAGGGGTGCGCGGTGAAAGATTATTGGGCCATTTGCGGGGAGTAAAATTAAAATGGAAAGAAATTGCTGGAAGATCCCAGCAGGATCTGTGGAGAGAAATCCGAGTTAATATTTCGGGGTCCAGTGACCCTTCCTCACCCCCCCCAAGAAGGTGGTTCAATCAGACAAGCTGCCGTTGTGTAGAAGGACTGAGACGGGCAGAGTGGCCTCCCTGTCATCCGTACGGGAGTTGGCTTGGAGCGTTCCGACCAGGAATTCCGGGAACGCGGCGGATGGGAGAGCAAGA